GGGAACCCGCCCTCCCCTGACCCCTACGCTCCGGGTGGTTCGGGGACGCGCAAAACACCCCGGCCACCATCGCCCCCGTTTTGGCGACCAAAGCCTGTCCCCGAGCCGTGCCAGGGGTGAGCCGGGGTCGAGCGAATAAGAGACATCCTCGCCCCTCGGCGGGGATTTCTCTTTCCTATGCCCTCTGCCCCTGCCCGCGACCCTGCAGGCCGCGCATTTTGTGAGCAGCGCGCCAGAGAGACCGGGGGAGGGGTGTCCCCAAAAAGGCCCCTCCCGGCAAGACACTTGAATGGGGTGGAGGAGGCCCCTTTCCAGCCCAGCGCCGGGTGCCCACGCCCAACAGCCGGAGGGAGCGGGCCGGAGGCGGTGCCCTCGGCTCAGGTCCTAGAAGGCATCCAGCGGCTCCTTAGGCGGCGCTGGCGGCTCTCAGTTCCCTCCCCCGGGCGGTCTCTGGCACCTGCCTGGCCGGGTTCCTCCCCTCCGGTCCGCTCCACAGTCTCCTTGCAACCGGGCGGCCCCAGCTCACCTGAGCGGACGGTCGCGGGGGGCGGGGGGCGGGGGGGAGAAGCTCTCTTACGCGCGCGCCTGGGTGGTGCTGGGCGATGAGCCTCGGTTCCTGCAGTCCGCAGAGCTCGTGTCTCTGCGATTTCCTGCAGGGCTGGCGCCCAGGGATCGGGAATTCAGAAAGATGCCGTCACTTCTTCCCTGCCCGGGACCCTTCACCTCCTCCCACCGGTTGGAGGTCACCTGGCCTCAGTTGGAACTCATCTCCTTGCCAGCACGCCCGCCGCCGAAATGTGACCTACGTTTTAAAAACCATTAACATTCACGGGAAAACCGGATCCAAAATTTCGATAACCATTTTTCTGTGAAATACCATTCTATTGCATCACTGCTCAAAAGCTTGAAAGGTCAATGGTCACTTTTAGTTGAGGCGGTGGCTATGGGGAAGTTGGGCGAGGAAGAGGGAGGAGGTGTGGGCAGGCGCGGCTCCCAAACCTTGCCTGGTGCTCCCTCTGCCGGCTCTGGGAGGAAGCATAAACCCGCTCCCGCCTTCCCCTCGGGAGTCTGGGGCGGTAGTTTTCTCGTTGTTGTTGTTTTTGTTATTGTTTTTTACTGCTTTTGAGTAAATAACTACGCAAATGATTGGCAGGTGAGCCCGTGAAGGGTGAGGCATTTCCCAGCTAACAAAGGCCTTTCTCCAAGATGGAGTTGTGTGCATGGAATCATGTTTTGTTTTTTTATAGAGTCTTTGATGTGGAGGGCAGAGCTAATTGAACCCTAATTAAAATCCTCTATAAAGTAACTGAAGACTCGCACTGGTCGGGGTCATTTACCGTTTTTAGACCCTCAGCCTTTTCTATAAAATTAAGGAACTGGACTCTAGTTCCGGTGAGGGACTGGGATGAATGCACAAATCAGATTCCATGTAGAGGTCGTGTGCAGTCTGAGACCCAGAACCTTTAAGAACCACTGCATCTGCCACGGTTCACCATGTTCTAAGTTATTCCATATGGCTTCTTCTTCCTTGGTAGAGAATCCCAGAGGTAGGGTGTGCTCTCTTCTGTAGTTTAAATTAAAAGATAATTTTTAAAAGTTTAAAGATAAAATAAATTTCTATTTGTCAATTGAAATGAATCTGCCAGCAACCCTTCTTAATGGGCTTTCCTGTTGCCTCTTAACACATGCTTTTCCCTCTTTTGCTGTTCCATCTTCCTGGAGTGCCCTTCCCCCAGTCTCATCATTCAGGTCCCAGCTCATCTTCACCTACTGAGAGAGTCATTGTCCACAAAAGTCCGCTCCACAAAAGTCCCAATAAGCACAATACCAGCTGTAGGAGCACCAAACTGTACCAAAGTAGGATATTTTATTTTTGTTTCTGAAATGTTTCTCAGCACTTTGTTGGCCTTCTAATCTGCGTCTTAGGAAAAATACTTATGAGATAATGTTAAGCAAAAAAAAAAAAAAGGTGAAATTGTATCTATTTCAAGCTTTTACAACATTATAAGATTCTGTTTGCATGTGAGCAAAAACAGAAGGGAATGTGGAGAAATTAAAGCAGCTATTTTTAGGGTGGCAGGATATGGGTGAATTTTCAAATTTGATTTTTCTTAATACTGTTCTAGTGTTTTTTATACAGTCATCATTTCCCCAAAATTGCACATAGGCCAGTGTCTGCAGTTACTCTAAGGGAATAGAGTATAGTTTGCAGAGCTTATAACTCCAGTCCCGATGGACCTCTCTCCTGAACTCCGGACCTGCCACTCTCATCACTTTTGAATGTCGAATAGGCATCTCCGGTTTAACATGTCCCAAACTGAGTCCTGATAACCCCATAAAACAACACCCCTTTAAAAAAACAAAAACCGTTCCTCCTTCAATCTTCCACATCTCTGAAAATGTCAATTCCAGTCTTCAGTTGCTCAGGTCAAAAACCTTAGTCATCCTTGATTGCTCTTTGTCACACACCCCACATCCCACCTGTTACCCAATCCTTTGACTCTTGACTTCACAATAAACCCAGATTTGAAGCACTTGCTACATCACCACCCACCAGTCCAAGCCACCCCATTTCTGCCTGACTTACTGCTGCAGCCTCCCTCCTGGCATCCTTGTTCCCCTTGCATCTATGTACTCCTGACAGAGCAGGAAGAGTGATCCTGTTTAAACTAAGTCATTTCACGTCCCTCCTCTGCTCCAACCCAAATGGCTGCATCACATCAGAGTGAAAGACAAAATCCAAAGAACCACTGGAGAATCCTACAAAGATCCGGTCCCATTTGCCTCTGGTCTCACCTCTTCCTGCTGTGTTCCTGGATCACTCTGTGCAAGTCACATTGGACTCCTTGCTATTTCTAAAACATGCTGCTCTTTCTCCTTCCTCGGGGCCTTCATCTATGCTGTTTCCCTATCTATCATGTTCTTCCTGTCAGATATCTGCATGGTTTACTTCCTCAGATTTTTACTCAGTGTCACCTTCTTAGTGGGACCTTGCCTGATCACTCTATTCAGAATCGACCCTCCCACAAACACTTGTCTCTCTCCCCTGGTGTAGTTTTCCCCTTAACACTGATCATTATCTAACCTAGTTTATGTTTTATTTATTAATCTGGTTTCCTGTCTTTCTCCCCCCCTAGAATGTAAGCTTCATGAGGACATGCATTTGCCTTTGCATTGTTCACAGATGTATCT